ACTCTAACTCTATCTTTATATCTCGCGCATGCAGGTAAGCGACTGCGGAGGCAGGTATGGATGCAGGCGACGCAGACGATGCCGGTTGCCGTGCCGACGCCGGCGACGCAGTACGTTACCACGACGATCCTGGGAGAGGCGACGCGCGTCGTCCCGTCGCTGCTCCCTTCGCCGTCGCAGCATCGCCATCGCACGAAGACCGTCGGACGCCATCACAAGAGCGCAGAGGTGAGTAGCGGCGGCGGTTGCCGTGGTTACGCCGCTCCGCGCGGACGATGATTCTTTGTCTGTTGCTCCCTGCAGTGTGTGTTGCGTGCTTTGTCGTGGAGTTTCAGGGATAGGGATCGTTCCTGGCTGCGTGTTGTCGTGGAGTTTCAGGGATAGGGATCGTTCCTGGCTGCGTGTTGTCGTTGAGTTTCAGGGACAGGGATAGTTCCTGGCTGCGTGTGTTGTCGTGGAGTTTCAGGGATAGGGATCGTTCCTGGCTGCGTGTTGTCGTGGAGTTTCAGGGATAGGGATCGTTCCTGGCTGCGTGCATCGTCCGACTGGGAGAAAGTCTGCTCTACCGTGGGGTTTTTTCACGGCGTCCGAGCGAGGGGGAAGCTGCTTGAAGTATTGTGAATGAATAAGAAATCATCTTTTTCTCTTTCCTTCCATCCATCCTCTCTCTCTCNGTGGAATAAGCGTATCCTCTCAATCTTACACGTTACACATCGGGAGCTCCGCTTTTAGGCAGTGCCTAAATCTGAATATTATAAAAACGTTAAATGGCGTTCATTTAGGTGTAACACCATCACTCACCCACATCTCAGACTTTCACATCTCAAACATTTATTTTCACATACAAAATTACACATATAATTGTCAAGAGTATATAATGGGAGTTCTCCCATATATACTCTTTTGTTTCTATAATGTACGTCAATGGTTGCTCAATTAAAATGGACTTATTCTCACTCACTCATTTGTGCCCTTTTTTGTGGTGAGCCACAGTGTCATTGACACTTTCATTATCATAGTACCACTAGTTACCAGGCAGTGTGAATTACAAATTCAACAACCTTGTCACTATTAACTGAAATGGCATGTCCAGGGGTAGAAATTAACATTTGAACAAGGGAGTCCAACAGACTCCCTGCCCTCGAAAAGAGGGAGTCCACAGCGAAATGAGGGAGTCCGCAGTCTGAAGTTCAAAATTAAAGATATTAACAATAACGCATGTGCTTATTTTGAAGATTAATGCGGTTGCACGTCTGCAAAATTTTCTTGGGACATTTGCTGAAAAAATACGGTAATTCCGTGAGGCCGTGCTCTGGAACTAACTAGTTAGTATGGCAGAATTTTCAGGGAGTCACACGGACTCCTGCATATGTCAAATCGGGGAGTCCAGCAGTAAATCAGGGAGGCTTAGACTCCAGACTCCCGTTAATTTCGCACCCTGCATGTCTGAGGTGCGATTTTCGAGTTAGGGGTTTCTTTTAGGCTATAGAGACATTTTATTTATTTTACGTTCACCATAACATTTGCTGTTGGTTTAATTAATCATTATTCCCTCCCCCCCCCACACACACAACGGATTTGTTTGGAGGTGATGTAAGGTTTTATGTGTATGTATGTAATGCTGCTAAATTACTCTGTTAGTTTAACCACACTGGGTTTTCGGGGCATTTCGGGGAAATTGTTATTTATAAGTTGTAGGGATGAGAGAATCCAATCTGAAGAAACATTCTGTTATGAGCACGTATCTGGCAAGGTTTAAAATCATTTTAATATATAGAGAGTTTGGACTAAAAGCAAGTACAGTTGAACTAGGAATAGAAGTTAAGCCCGGCGCACACGTGGCGATTTTTACAAGCAAAACAAAAATTCAACAGAAAAGTTATCTCCACACAAGCACACCTGAGCATGTTGACACCATGCTGAATTTGTAAAAAGACCCCCCTCAAAAAAGCCTACCTACCTACCTAAGCTTTTCAGCCTTGGTCGGGTGAGGGCAAAAAAAGAATTTTTTAATTGTGTAGTTGTGCCTTAGTATGTGTAACTGTTAACGCTTTTCTAATAGTAGGATATGAGTAGCAGCTACTTATCAGCTACTTCTTTTAAAAAATAGTAACAAAGTCATTATAGGCATCAAGTAGCTTCTTTACTGGCCAAATGGCTTGCCACATCAGTGAACATGTGGTTCTGGCGGTGACCCATTCAGTCCTGATCTCGAAAAGTTTGATTTCAACTCTATTAATTGTTACTGTTATTGTAAAATCCATAAAATTTTGGCAGTTGTGGGACTGGGGTACGGACTGCTATTTCAAATACAGCTGGCTGTCTTGATTTTCTGGTGAGTTTTCTCTTGCCACACTGCTAGTGCATTCTGTGTTACAATGTACAGGCCTTTTTCTTGAGGGTTAAGTTCGGAATTGCTGTAAGAGTCTGAGTTTTTTGGTTTTGATATGCTGTTGATTTTCTTATAGATCCACAGCAAATTCACGGGAGCAGTTGACGCTTTATGTCAAGAATATTCCATTTAACATCAACGAAGTAAGTATAATTTCATCGTGTAGCATATGTATCATATGGGTCATTGTTGGGGAGGGATATCATAGAGAGAAACAGATGTAAGAGAGAGGGAGGGAAGGAGGGAGTGTGAGTGAGTTGCCTATGCTGAATTGCATGAGAAAAGCAGAGAAATCATAGAAATCACTGAGCAGCCTTTATCTGCTAAACTATGAATGCTAAAACTTATGAGTAATTTTAATATATTTAGCACTTTACTGAACAGTTTTCTCGTTGTTTAACGAAACAGGAGGGCTTGGCAAACCTGTTCGCTTGTGCCGGAAATGTACTCCAGGCCACTATTTTGAAAACTGCGAAGGGTCAAGTAGGGTGAGTACAGAATGGTATTCTGTCAAGGTCATTGTTTAACTTTCTTAAGAAAGCAATCGTCTAACTCTTGTGTTGTGAGGTGCTTCGTCACCTTTGCAAAAAATGTGGGAACTGAAGATCCCTCGTGCTGACTCCTCCACCTATGAGTGCATGTAGCAGGGAATGGTTCAGACGTGTAGTCTTACTGCTTCTCTTATAGCTTTGTAGTGTTCCGGACTGTCAAGGAAATGGAAGCAGGGATACGCATGTTGGATCGACATGTGATAGGCAGCAACATGTTGTCAGTGAGCATTGCACTTTCTAATGAGGCAAAAGCGAAAAGAAAAGCAAGCTGGGAGGTGAGTAGTGAATGTCATTTTTAGCTCACCTTGACATCGTCAAGATGAGCTATTGCCATGGGTCGTCGTCCGCCGTACGTCTGTCCGTCCGTCTGTCCGTCAACATTTGGCTACGGTCAACGATAACTCAGGAACCGTTTGACCCACATGTTTGAAATTGGGTATAGTTGTTACTGCTATGCTCCCATATTGAACGTCCTATTATGGAGCACGCCAATCGACGTACTTTCGAGCCACGGCAATTTTTTTAGCAAAAATGGGAATTGCCATTAGTCAGTTCAAAACACATTCTTGCTCATTTTTGGTATGTAAATAATAGGAGCCAGTTTTGATATTTAAAAAATGTGCAAATTAGGTAGCACTATATGGCTAATTATACGCATAATTATGTTATAGACACGCAGATAACAGTCTGTGGTGTCACACTCGTCTGTTCGTTTTACAAGATGTCATTGACAATATCTTTAATGCAAAATTGGTATTTCCTCTCCCCCTGCGATAAAACTCTATATTAGAGTAAAGTTTTACAAAACATGTCGGAACGCAGCATAACCTATTATTTTGAACGCCATCGCTAAGAAACATCAAAGCGGGTATAGCGCCATCTACCGTCACAAATTGTGATTCATTTTGGTTTATAAATTATTATTCGCGATATACACGATGGCAACCGTGTGCTACCGCTAGAAAACTCATTACGAAGTAAACACTTCCATGCAACCAATTAACTTTGACAAAAGTTGGTGTATGGGCAGGGAAACACCATTGTCACGTGGTATATAGCAGCTAGTGGAATAAGCGTTATCCTCTCAATCTTACACGTTACATCACCGGGAGCTCCGCTTTAGGCGTGCCTAAATCTGAATATTATAAAACGTTAAATGGCGATCATTTAGGTGTAACGCCATCACTCACCCACATCTCAGACTTTCACATCTCAAACATTTATTTCACATAAAAAATTACACATATAATTGTCAAGAAGTATTATAATGGAGTTCCTCCTCCAATATATACTCTTTGTTTCTATAATGTACGTCGATGGTTGCTCAATTAAAAGCACTTGCTTCTCACTCACTCATTTGTGCCCTTTTTTGTGGTGAGCTACAGTGTCATTGACACTTTCATTATCATAGTACCACTAGTTACAGGCAGTGTGAATTACAAATTCAACGACCTTGTCATATATTAACTGAAATGGCACATGTCCAGGGTGTAGAAATTAACATTTGAACAAGGGAGTCCAACAGACTCCCTGCCCTCGAAAGAGGGAGTCCACGGCAAAATGAGGGAGTCCGCAGCTGAACTTCAAAATTAAAATATAACAATAACGCATTGCTTATTTGAAGGATTAATGCGGTTTGCCACCGTCTGCAAAATTTCTTGGAACATTTGCTGAAAAATACGGTAATTCGTGAGCCGTGCTCTGGAACTAACTAGTTAGTATGGCAGAATTTTCAGGGAGTCACACGACTCTGCATATGTCAAATCGCGGGAGTCCAGCAGTTAAATCAGGGAGGCTTTGACTCAGGACTCCCGTTAATTTCGCCACACCTGCATGTCTGAGGTGCGATTTTCGCGTTAGGGGTTTCTTTTAGGCATAGAGACATTTTATTATTTTACTTCACCATAACATTTTTGCTGTTGGTTTAATTAATCATTATTCCCTCCCACCCACCACACACAAACGGATTTGTTTGCGAGGGCTGATGTAAGAGTTTATGTGATGTATGTCAATTGCTTTGCTAAATTACTCTGTTATAACACACTGGGTTTTCGGCATTTCGGCGAAATTTGTTATTTATAATTTTACGGATGATGAGAATCCAATCTGAAGAAACATTCTGTTATGAGCACGTATTCGCAAGGTTTAAAATCATTTTAATATATAGAGAGTTTGGACTAAAAGCAAGTACATCTTGAACTAGGAATAGAAGTTAAGCCCGGCGCACACGTCGGCATTTTTATCGACAGTACCGTCGATTTTTTATCCCGGTACTGTCGATAAAAGTCGCCACGTGTGCGCCACCCGGCGACAATTCAACCGTCTTCAGCGACATACCTGCTTCAAACCACACACAGGCGCGTGCCAATACTTTGATCACGTGTTCAATCATTGGCATTTGATTGCTTTAATCCAAAAACTTTGCCGGGATCCATCGCCAGTGCGGCGCACACGTAGCGATTGTTCACGAATCTGGGCGCAACAAATATCAAACATGTTCGATATTCCAGCGACGAGTTTCTGGCGTCAAAATAGGTGACGCCGGGCAGCGCACACGTGGCGATTTCTCGGCGATTTTGTTGCTGGCAACAGAATCGCCGGTACTGTCGATAAAAATCGCCACGTGTGCGCCGGGCTTAAGTCTCTGAATATTTATGGACCTGGTATGGTGTATGTAGCATTTCATTGTTGCCATGATATGTACATGTGTAGATCATTTAGAATGCGGTCGCACAAAGAGCATGGGTAGTTACAGCCACCTTGCGGGCATGGGATGAGCAAATGTACATTTAAATTTAAATTCTGGGCAATTTTACATGCATAGCCAATGTCCAGAATAGATCCCTAGCTGGCCTGTATGGTTATGCATCTTCTGGTAGGCAGGCCGCTAGACATCCCTGGTCCATGGTGTTAGTCAATTACTCTGATCGTATATTAAATATTCATTTACGATCTTATTTAAGTCTCTCTCATCATTTCCTTCCATTTGATTCTCGCCATAACTGAGAAACTTTAACATTTTGACAATGCGCTGCATTTCCAATACCACTGTAAACCTGAATGGAGTGTGCACACCACTTTTACAGCAGGATACCAGTGAGTCTTGGAAATAATTCTGAAGCCCCAGCAAGTTGTGATGTCAACATTTATATATGTATTATGTAGACGATAGTGAAATCCATAAAAATTAGCCAGTGCTGCTCAAAGGTTAGCAGCGTTGGACTGGGCTGCTATTACCAGCATTGAGGATACAGGTGCTGTAGGGCACCGAAGATGAAAGAAAAATCATCCACTCCTCTCCCTCTCCTCCCCGTCCTCCTCCCTCTCATCTCCTTCCCCTTTTCCCCTCTTCCTCCCTCTTTTCCTCCCCTTCCCATCCTCCCCTCCTCCCCCCTATTCCTCTTTCTTTTCCTCCCCTTCCCATCCTCCCCTCCTCCCCCCTCTTCCTCATCCTTTTCCTCCCCTTCCCATCCTCCCTTCATCCTCCTTTTCATCCCCTTTCCCCCTCTTCCTCCTCCCTTTCTTCCCCTTCCCATCCTCCCCTCCTTTCCCCTCTTCCTCCCCCTTCTCGTCCTTCCCGCTAGATATACCCGTGACCGAACATGACACAGCGTCGACGGCACATCCTCCGACATCACACACTCTCATTTGTCTCTCCTGCTGCCTTTTGTTTCAGCGGCAGCAGGAGTTACAGCGGTCGATCAGCAGCGGGAGCGACCTGAGGGGCCTCCGCGTGACGGCGACCGACGGCGGCGGCGGCGCCACCGTGCGTCACGTCAGCGACTCCGAGGCCGGCGGCGGCGGGGACGTGGTCAGGGATCGTGGCGGAGGTCACGACCTGCTCACTCGCGTCAATCGCGGCGCTCCGTCGATGCGGGGTGGCGGGTCGGGGCGTGGGGTCGGACGGTGGATGCCGCCGAACGGGCGCGGTAGAGACACGGCGCCATTAGCGACCTCCCATCATCGCGGGACTAACGAGGATGCGGAGGCGGAGGCTTACGGTGAGCCGAGCCATCGGCCGACCAACCCACTGGTATGCATTCATCGTCATTTCCTTCGTTTTGCAGCGTTGTCGCTTGCAAATCCGATCAACCATCGTAAACAAGCGTAACGACAAAGTGCAGTAATAAATATGAATAACACCCATATTAGCCAAAACAAAATATAGGTGTGGTTACCGTTTCATGCCGAAAAAAAATAGGGTAGGTCGGTCGGGAAAACATTTTATTTTATTGAAACATTTTATTTACGAACCATGTCCGAAGGATGTGCGTTGTGCCTTTTGAAGCAGGAACTGTCCAATTCATATTACAACTTAAGTATCCACAGGTCCTAGTATGTATACTACATACTATTGCGTGCAGTGTTCGAAATTCGCATCAGCCCGTCGGCCCGCTGCCGACAGTTTCGATGCCGGGCCTACAGCTTCTTGATAAAACAGGCCCGCTGATCCTACAGTTATTTAATCACCGAAAATTTGAAACACTGAGAAACTGTTACCTGTAGAAATCTGTTCATGCATATTAACTTCCAGGGGTATTTATTTGAAACTAATCCGTGATAAACCGTGACATACATGTAAACAATGCGTTCGCCCACTGCAATCAACTTTAGTTGGCATTCAAGAAACGTGCGTGGGATGTTCGGACGCACAGGTTAGCACAGGTTTCTGAATCCAGTAGCAGCGTTGGCAAAAATCGATAAGAAGTGGGTGGAGCTTACTTTTGGCCAGTGGTAGTGAACCCTACATTGTGTTGGCCAGGGTTTATTTACATGCACGTGTCGTGCAGCACGCTCACTGTTCACGTGCGCTAGGTTGTGGAGTAATTCTCACATCCCCGCGCATTTCACGTTAGGATGTAAACAGTAAAGTATCACTGGTAGTTATTACAAAGGATCAGTATACTGTTTTAAAATAATATTAAGAAGATTTAGGTAATATATCACGTTGAATTATACAGTAAATAATAATAATTGTCTCAAGTTGTAACACACATGTCATAATTAAGTCATTGTAGCTGCAAAGCACGTCGTATTACTAGTCATGCAAACAGCAGTACAGTCTCGTCGCACCACTCAGGTTTAACCGTGTCATATTGTTTTTAACGTTTGGAAAAACTATATACGTTTTATACAGGGTGTAGCTAAATAAAAGCTTCCCTACGTAAGAGCTTGTATGTCTACAAATACATTTACTTTGGACACACTCAACACAGACGGAATTCCCCAGTGCCATCAAAATTTACAGTAGGTAAATTTTACATAATTTTCCTTTTCCACCAAAAAGTGTTGCTAGTTGTAAGCTATTGGTTTTCTTTGAAGCAGGAAACTGTCCAATTCATATATTTTTTAATTTAAAAAAAATGTTAGGGTCGCTGGGAATAATAGGGTCGGCTGGGAAACGGTAACACACTATATTTTGTTTTGGCCTTAAAGTAAGTTAATTAAAAATAATTATTTTAAATGATTATTTACGATTGATTGCGTTCAGTCCCCGGCCCATCATGGCTGCCTCATGGGTGACGTGGCATCAAGTGTTGTGTGTAGTGTTGGGGTGTATCTCTCCTCACCCCTCCTCGTTACTGGGTGGTCATCTCATTTTAAACATGTTACATGATGTAGTAATTTAGTTTAGTAGCAATAGGTTATTACTGCTATTGCATTGGTTATAATAAATATAAAATAATAACAATTAAATTGATATTTAATAATTAACTAATTACACAATAAATAATATTGAAATTGCAATGAAATTTGGGTCACATAATTTAAGAAGGTCACCCTACGACGCCGCCCTGTTGTGAATGCTTTTAGGAGGCCGGGCGGCTGGCGGCAGCTCAGGAAGCCGTGCAGAATGCGGGTGGAGTTACGCCTGCCCAGCTCGATCGTGGTAAACGGCTGGCGATGCGCTCCGATGCAGCAGAGGAGACGAGCGGCAAGGTCGCCGCGACGGTCCGGCCAAAGGCGCCGCGAGAGAAGTGCATTGCCGTGGGATGCGACAAGAATGGCATGTCGTATTATATCCTTAAACTTTGCTGCTTTTGCCATGTTTGTTTGCGTGGGATTTAAGTAGCCACCCTCACGAGGAAGCACTTATTTTAGATATGGGGGAAGGAAATCGGTGAAGTCGGCATTCCAGGATCGAAGATGGATTAATTGACCCTATTTTGCTGTGTCGATGGAAAGAAATTTACGTTGTGCATTTAGGGAATAGAAAAACAGGAAAATAAGTGAAAAGCCCAAAAGACCATCGAGGCAGAAATCAAGTGGATTGTCACAGATCTGTATATATGGTTTTGCCATTTTACCGCTTGTCTCAATCAAAGGTGTCCTCAAGTGCTGAATGTGGTTGTTGATTTTAATATCTAGGTAGCTTCCGTTGTCTGGGTTGCTCGGCCGTTTACTGCAGCGAAGGTTGTCAGAAGAAGGACTGGCCGACTCACAAGTCTCAGTGCAGGTAGTATGTTGTCTGGAGAAAATAGTATTGCTTCTTCTGAGAGAGAAGGTTCTACACTGCGAGAAAGTTCGTCTCAACAGATTTTATTGGAAACTGCATGTAAAACTAATATGTTAAAGATATTTTTTGTGCCTGAAGCCTGGTGCTGATTACAGCAATATTGATAATTGATTATTAATTAATTGCTGATGATGATTGTTTCTCTTTACAGGCCCGCCAATACCACCCCCACCACCACCACCCCCAGTCCCCCAGTCCCCGATTATTGGAACGGTAAGCATTGAGATATTACAGCTAAAGAATTTAGTTGTAAAAGTATTGTAACGACGGCTTTTACACTAGTTTGAATGAGTAATTTAGAGTAAAATAATCAAGAAGAGTATAGAATTTGTGTTCAATCAAAGATATAATGTTTACAAAACAACCGGCCACTATACAGTACACGTGCGTCTCGTATGTCTACCCGTCTTCCAGTCCCGTCCCAAGTCGCTACGCTTGTATTTATATTACTCTCTCCTCCAATCACCAACAAGCTCTACTCTACCAGCCAATCACGCACAACCACCATCTCTTTGTTCCATTCAAATAATTCCCGCCAACCCTACCTATCTATCCAAACTCTACATCTGTATAACACATGTATCTCTGTCTAGCCACTGTCTGACTACGTATTTTTAACCTATATGCTAAACGTCCAAACCTACTCGTAGTCTAGCTCTTTACATCTAATCTATCTACATGTGTTTTACACATGTTACAGTATATTAGAATAGCTTAAAAGTTATTCATTGTAGTGTTTGTCATTATTTGTCATCATATAATCTAGACTTAATCCGCTGTGATCCTATATTCCCGTATTTCCTGTGTATGTGGTCTCTAATAAAGCAGTTAAACAGTGGTTACCCTCCCCGCTACAAAATATTTTACAACATGCCACATACCATATAGATATAGTATTCACAGGGTTTTCCCTGTTGAACATGTTTTTGTAGTTGAGTGAGTGTTGAATCACTCGAGTATTTACAGCGCAACTACTTATGGCTAGGTGTTTGAAATATTGTGCCACATATTAATGGTGGTAAGCAATATAATAAACGTATCTATACACTGACCGTTTAAAGCGTCTATTGCAAGAATTTTCCAGTGTTTCCCCCACTTTCATGATACCTACCGTTATAAGTGACCGACCGTTACATATACCGACCGTTTAAGTGCTATATCAGTTCTGTTCCTGCAACGATGTCATTTCAGAGTTTTCTCGTTTTTTCGCTTGCATATTAAATAGCGATTATTGACATTTTTGTGGTAGCATGTACCTAGTATAAGGGTTTTTTGTGAAGTTAAAACTATTAACCATCAGCTTTTCAACATTTACATATTATTAATAAAGGTCGTTTTATATTTTAAACTAAAGTTGCCTAAATTAAAATTGCCCTAATAGTATTGAAACACGTTTTTAGATGATAGTGAGGTGTTAGTTGTGCGGGTGACTGCTTTATTTATCGAGCGAACTTCGGAAATTTTAAGGGCCAAGAGCTTCACCGAGACAGAACAACGGCAGCAGTGAAGGTAGGATGGCAGCAAAACCAGCCTATAACAGCCACGCGACTGAGCCCAGAGTTGATAAAGGAGGAAGCTGGCAGCAGGCGGGGACACCAGAAAGACCGGCTGCGAATGTGTCGCACAGTAAGCTGGATAGCGGTAAAGGTGGCCAACGACAGGTGACCCCACCAGCCCAGAAAGTACCCCGCCCAAGTGCTCCACTAAGAAAACCCTATTCGTCCACAAATGGTCCGAGGGTGGCCGAGGCGTCAATGGGCATGTCGCAGCAGACGTCTTCAACATCTGGAATAGCCAAGAAGTCTATTGTCAATAGCCGCACAAGCCCTACGGCTACCGCAGATCATGTGCCCGGGCAACGAGGCAAGTAAACGGCATGTAGATGTAAACCGCATAATACGGAGCTAATTTAGCCAGGGACCGGTTTCACGAAGCGTGATTAACTTTAATTATGATTAAATCACTAATCATACTTAACCTCCTGTAATTATAATTAGTTAATCATACTTAAAAATCTGTTTCACGAAGCGATTTAAGTACATATTTAACTAATCACATAATTAGCCGACTTAAACATGAATTAAATATTGTAATTTACTTAATCATGATTAAAGTTAATTACGCTTCGTGAAACAGTCACTTAAATTTAAGTACGGGAAGTTAATCATGATTAAGGACTTAATTACGCTTCGCGAAACTGCCCCCAGATTGTTCTCCGAAAGTTAATGTTGTTAATTTTCGCATTACTGGTTTAGTTTTAAGATACTGAATAAATCTATAGTTAATAAAAGCAATGGGCAGCTCTGAATCGAAACCCACATGCAATGCTAAACAGCTACTATATAATAGCAAGCGGCCTGCGGTCTGCATTTGCATTTCGTACACGATCCATTTTATCGGGTGGGAAATGAACTGGCACTGCAAAGCGCTTGTCTGTTCGTACTTTCTGACTAGTAGTCGATGCCCTTGTTATATGCACTAAATTAGCCGCGATACGCGATCACGTTTAGAATGGAAGTGAAATAATAGATCGGTTGCGCTTGTAGGTGATCGCGCCGGTGTACGAGGTTACCGCACGTCGATGGATCGTACATCTGCTGCTGACTCGCGGTCTCCTTCAGAGCAAGATGTGGCAGCTACACTGTGAGTACTGTCACGAATACATCTACACCGCAATCCATCCGTAATCGATTCTAATATGATGTTGTTCTGTGCAGCGTGCGCGACCGCGATACCAGCTTTTGTGGCGACGATTCCAATTCAAGATTTTTAAAAAACAGAAGCAATTTTAGTCGGAAAGGAGTGTTTGTGTCGGGCAGGAGGGCTGAAAGCTTGGTGCATGCGATAAAGCTAAGGAATGTCTCAGTGATTCTAGGTTGGGTTCGAATGAGGTGGTAACAAGTGTCCCAGCATTATCTGTTGCTCGGGGGAGGGGGGAAACTAGTCGGAACTAGAACTGTCGGCAGGCTGGTAAGAGCAGAAAATGTTGCTAAGGCTATATGTTGTAAAAGGTCGTATAGTATTCATAAATGTGTAAGTGAGGAGTGAGTGGGTGTACTTTTTGCTGTTATTACTATTTTCGTTGGTGCCTCCTATCTTTCTCGCATACCTTTATTAGTGTTCATTCTCCATCTTGATGTAGATGCGTCATGCCAGAATTGCATGTGCCGCATCTTGCTGGCTGTTGATACTCTCTTAAATATGACCCTGACCCCATTCCCAGCCCAGCCCTAACCTTAAACACAACTCTTTCTTAACCCTATCCCTTCAATAGTCTTAACCATTTCTTGAATCTTTCTTAACCCAAACCCTTCCCTAATCCTTATTCTAAATCCAACCTAAACAACCTGTCAACCATGATTTTAACCATTACCCTTTCCTAATCATAAACCTGACCCTAACACTAACTCTTCCCTATCTGTAAAACTAACCTATCCCTAACTCTCAACCCAACTCTAATCCTAACCTCAACCCTATAGTCCTCTCCCCAACCCTAACCCTAGCTCTTACCCCAAATGCTTCTTTAACCATAACGCTTCTCTACTGTAACCCTTCCCTAACCCTAACCCCAGCTCAACCCCATAATCATTCCCTAACCATAACCCGAACCCCAACACTAACCCCACACCAACCCCAATACCAACCCTAAAACTAACCCCAACCCAAACTCTAACCCAAACTCTAACCCAAACTCTTTCATAATCATTACCCTGACCCTAACCCCAGGCGTTAACCCTAATTCTAATACTTCCTTCAACGGACTCGACGAAAAAACAGCCAGAGGTTGACACCTGCAGATTCCACCTTCAGGTGCAGCAACTGTGGCAGAGACTGCCATTCTCGAGTTGCACTCTACAGCCACAGCAGACGCTGCGCTGCTTTAAAAAACTTTTCCTCAACTGACGCAGATCCATATAGTCTCACAAGACTGACGGATGTCTACTACTAATACTTCCTTATACATAAGAGCAATGCTAACCCTAACCACGACCGTAACCCTAACGTAAACCTCATCTTGCGACTAGCTGTCGTTCAACACTTTCCTCGCTCTTCCCCAGGCCTCCACCGCCCGCGACGGCAACGGTGACACAAGGTTTCCGCGACCGGCTGGATGCGATGGTGACGGCGGGCGAGTACAGGGGCGTCATCGACAATGAGGCCGGGGTGCCCGATCGCTTCTACGTGCAGGTGGTCACGGACGGGCAGCAGCAGTTGGAGGCAGCGTTCACAGACATGATGCATGCTCTGAACGAACGTTGCGGAAAGGCGCCGGCCGCCATTACCGACCGGTGAGCCGATGTCGTGGTCGCGCGCTAGCTTAAGTTGTGCCAGTCAACGAAAGCGTCTCGAAATCGTCCGTCGTGCAAGCGTCGTGAAATTAAAAAGCCGTAAAAATATACGCGCACAAAACGAGGGTATTTTGTAGTGCCTAAAATGTCATGCATGTATATTGCGACTTCGTTTTGTGTATAATGTATGTAACTATAAGTCGGGAAATTTTGAACTAATGATAGTTATACATAACTATTAGTGATGTTTCTAACTACAGGCTATTTGTCTGTAAGTGTTGTGATCAAGCATGTAGATGATTGTTGTGGGAAAATGGTATATATACGTAATATATAGTTAGGCGTAATATATAGTTGGTAATATATAGTCAGTAAAGTGTAATATATAGTTGGTAATATATATAGTCAGTACAGTGTAATATATAGTTGATAATATATATAGTCGGTAAAGTGTAATATATAGTTGGTAATATATATAGTCAGTAAGGCGTAATATATAGTTGGTAATATATATAGTCAGTAAGGCGTAATATATAGTTGATAATACATAGAGTCAGTACAGTGTAATATATAGTTGGTAATATATATAGTCAGTACAGTGTAATATATAGTTGGTAATATATATAGTCAGTAAGGCATAATATATAGTTGGTAATATATATAGTCAGTAAGTCGTAATATATAGTTGATAATATATATAGTCAGTAAAGTGTAATATATAGTTGGTAATATATATAGTCAGTAAAGTGTAATATATAGTTGGTAATATATATATAGTCAGTAAGGCGTAATATATAGTTGGTAATATATATAGTTAGTAAAGTGTAATATATAGTTGGTAATATATATAGTCAGTAAGGCGTAATATATAGTTGGTAATATATATAGTCAGTAAAGTGTGATATATAGTTGGTAATATATACAGTCAGTAAAGTGTAATATATAGTTGGTAATATACATAGTCAGTAAAGTGTAATATATAGTTGATAATATATATAGTCGGTACAGTGTAATATATAGTTGGTAATATATATAGTCAGTAATGCGTAACATATAGCCAACTAGGTGTGATATATAGTCGGTGAGCTGTAATATATAGTCGATGCAGTGTTATGAGTGGATGGCGTGTTACCGTCGCGTCATCCTCCGCAGGCCTGGCGTCGGTGACGCCGTCGCTGCGAAGTACGCCGTCGACGGCCTCTGGTACCGTGCGATCGTCGAGTCTGCCGCCGGAGACGTGCTCTACGTGGATTTCGGTAACCGCGCGCGCGTCGACCTGCGGACGGTGCACCACCTCGACACGACCTTCAAGCTCCTGCCAATGCTTGTGAGTGTAGATGCTTAACGATGATCGGTGTAATTAATGAGCCGGGGAATCTCGCGCTCGCGCACGAGTGAATAGGGAGATGGCTGGTGGTTAGGCAGGTTAGCGCAGGCAGGAGCGGGGGGCTCTGACAGAAGCGTGCGTCGGTAGTGAGGGGACGTGGGCATAAGATTGTGGAGGGTGTGG